CTACTAATTACCCATGTGATCTTGTCCCCCTCTCTGGGTACTCCATTTCCTCCTTTTTAACATTAAGGGTTGGATTAGATCCTCCCTATTAATTATAAGTTCTATAACTCTAGAAATAAGTAAGACTCCCCGAGCATCACTTTCCTTCACTATGAAATGAGGATAAATAATAACATTCATGCTATCTACCTCACAGTTCTGTGCTAAGGAAAAGCACTTTGCAAACCTTAAAACATGATAGAAATGAGTATTATGAACAAGAACACAAAATAAACCAATTTTAATCTCTCCAATATATGGAGGATCTTCCTGAGTTTGTGGCAGATGGTCTCACCTTGGATGGAGCAGGAGAGTTAGCATTGGATCAGCCCATTTCTAGCCTTTGACTTTTCCCTCTCTGGAAAAAAAGCAAAGGAACTGTGGTCTTCTAGGTGTGTTTGCCTGAGGGTTCACTGAGAGGGATGGATTGTCAGTGGGTCACAGGCAATTTGCTTCTGCTTTTTATCTTCAATGTAAATGATCCTATTTGCTATCTCCTCTAAGAATTGATTCTTGGGGAAAAGAAGATGAAGTTTGGAAAAGGATGAAAAGTAGACCTGACTAATGTTTTCAAGTATCTGAAAGGTTATCTTGATTAAGAGGGATTAGATTTATTCTACTTGGTTCCAGCAGGCAGAGCTGAGACTAATTTAGGGAAGTTTTGCAGGGAGGCAGATTTGCATTGGGTATAAGGAAGAGGATTCTAACAATTGGAGCTGTCCAAGAGTAGAACAGGTTGACCCATAAGATACTAAACTCATTTTCATAAGATGTGTTCAAGGTAAGTCCGAATGAACACTTCTGAAGGATTGTCAAGGGGAAAGGAAGGATTGTCAAGGGGAAAGGAAATTCAACTTATTCTTCATGGTCTCAGTGGGCAGAACTAGCAGCAAAAGAGGAGGTTACAAGGAGGTAGATTTAGGTTCGTTGTAACAAAAGACTTTCGAACAAAGAGGGCTACCTAATAAAAGAAAAAAAAAACTACCTTGAAAGGAAATGAGTTCCCATCACCAGAAGTATTCTAATAGAGGCTAGATGACTTACTTAGTCAGGATATTGCAGAGAAATCTTTGTTACAAGTCAGTATTAAACTAGAAATCCATTTAAGTCCTCTTCTAATTTTGCTATTCTAGGATTTAAAGGTTCATTCCCTTTGGGTCAGTTAACTTCACAGATATCTTTCCTCCCCTGAAGTCCAGATTGTCAGCTGACAAAAGACATTGAGGAAGAGAGGGAATGTCTCATCCTGACTAGCTACATAAAGGAGCTTGACAAGGAAGTTGATGCCACCTGCCCTGCTAAAGTGGAGTACTCCTCCAGTCTTAAATGAAATACGTCCTCTCTAATTTATAGTCATAGATGGATGTTTCTATATCTTAATAGATGGTCTTTGTGATTTATTGTAACCAAAATAATAATGATAATAACAGTCCTCTGGAAGACAGCCTTCAGGTGATGGACCTTTCCTCACTAAGCTAGGCTTAGCAAATCAAAGACAAACTTTGTGTAGGCAGACCTAGGCCATCTTGGGAAAGCTCCCTATCTGGAGGTTTTCAGAAAAGGCTTATTGACCACTTGTTAGGAGAACCATAGTAAGAACAATTATCCAAGTATGTGTTAAAGTAGAAGGCCCTCAAAGCTCAGAGATTCTGTGATCCTAAGTTCTACTTCTGCAAATTAGGAGATCACAGTATTGTTTTCTATGTATTGATTTTACAAAATCCTAGAATCTTAGGAATCTCAAAGCTGGACATGACCAAAATGGACCTTTAGTCCAGCCTCTTACTCAAGTGTCTCTATGACTTCCCTTTGAAAGGTCATCCAGCCTCTGCTTAGAGATCTCTGAAAAGGAACTGATACAATCCAAAGCAGCCATCATTGAGAAAGGAGCCTGAATTGTTGAGTTCTTCCTTTCCATGAATCCAAATCTGCCTCCTTGTTCAGCTTCTAAAAATCAAGAATCAGATCTCCCTTATCAATCCTCATTCTGACCAGATACTCAGAAGAAAGTGCATCTGTACTTACAATATCCATTTGTTTCTGCATATTTCTTGCTGTATGTTAATCCATCAGAACTATGAAAAATATTAGGATCCTTCAGATAGAATAATTTCTCATTTTTCACCAGGACCTAAAATTCACTACATCCCTTCTAGAGAAACCAGAAGAATACATCCAATGTAACTTTTCCACCATATTTAGAGAGTAACTTATTAAAATGGGGCCACTTGTATGTAAGCAGTGTCCTACTAAATATCTGTGTGACTTCAAGTAAATGAGGTCCCTCTGGACCTCAAGTTCTTTGCATAATAGTAGAAAGTAAATGTTAGACTAAATGATCCTGAAAATCTCTTCCAGTTATAAAGGTTTAGGAATCTATTATTTTGGAATAATACTGGTAATTATTTCTACTACTATTACTGCTGCTGCAGCTAGTACTACTACAACTACTACTACAACTACTACTACTACTACTACTACTACTAAACAACCCACATTTCTAGAGTACTTTACAGTTTACAGAATACTTTTCTCAAAATGAGAACCCTGTGAGGTGTCTTAAGAAGCTTTAACCCCTTTAACTGGTGACAAAAGTCAGGCTAAGAGAGATTACATGATTTGCTACAATAACACAACTGGTAAGTGTCAGAGCCAAGAGTCAACCCAGAACTTCTGCCTTCAAATTCAAAGTTCTTTCCACTACACCACCACTCCAAGAAATATTTTATTTTCCCCCAAACACAATAAGATTCTGACTCTCATGTTCCTAAGATTTGACATAGCATTTTCTCCATTTTCCCATCATTGAATATGTGATTGAAAATGCATAAGCACTTAATCTAGGTGCTTGGGAAAAGCCCAGACTTTGAGATCTGTTTGACCTGAGTTTGAATATCCAAGACTAGACTATACTGGTTTGCAAGCTGTCCCACCCTTTACTATGTAGCCTTCCTGCTTATTCAGTCTAATCAGTTGAATAATTCTTTGCGAATGAAAAAAAAAGATTATGGGAATAGTCACTGAATAGACAAGTGTTAACTACAAACAAGTACAGAATTTTATTTTGAGACCATAACAACAAAGGACACTGGATTTGGAATCCAAAGATCTGGATTTGAATCTTGCCTCAGACACTAGCTGTATGACCATGGGCAAGTCACTTAACCTCTCTGAGTGTGGATTCCCTTGTCTAGAAAACAGAGTCAATAATACTAACTAGAAATCTGATAGGGTGATTGTGAAGAGAGTGTTTTGCAAACCTTAAAGTGCTAGTATTATTATCATTATTACTAGTAGTACTGTGATCATTACCATCATCATCTTCTAGGGAAAAGAATAATCTATAGATCATATCCTTGTATCTTAAAGGAAGAAAACATTTCTAAAAGATCATAAAATTATAGATTTAGAGCTAGAAAGAGTCTTTAAGGCTATCTAGTCCAATCCCCTGATTTTGCACATGTGGAATAGGAAAAGTAATATTGTCCAGGTTCACACATCATGTTAAGTTATTTGCCAGGGTCACACAAGTAATATATGATTGAGGCAGGGTTTGAACCCAGAACCTCTGATTCTAAATTAGTACTCTTTCCAACATAACATGCTACTTCTTAATTTTTTTGCATTTGTTGAACTTAATACATAAATTTTCTCTTTTTATTAACAGTATCACCAAAAAAGTGTGAATATTAAAAAGTCTAAATTAACTAAACTAAAAAACTCTAAATTAACTCAAACTAAGAACTTCAATGAAATAAACTAGTAAAGCCAATTTTAAAAATCCATGAATAGAACTTTGATCCTTCCTGTAACAGTTTCACCTTCTATGTTGGGAATAGACCTTAGCTGGGAATCCAGAAATCTAGACCTCAGTTTCATCCTTGTCACTTACTATGTGACCTTGAGCAAAGCATTCCACCTCTATGGTCTTCATTTTCTGCATTTGTACAATGAAGGGACGAATGTGGATGTGATCATCTGTGACTGATGTCAAGGGATTCTAACTCAGTTCACCAATAGACATTTATTAACACTAATATTCTAAGGTCTTTATCTCTAGCATCTTTTTTTTATGGTTCCTTTCCATTCTAACATTCTGGGTTGTATGATACAATATTTTATGTTCTAAGAGGGTTTGTGATCTAAGGAGAAGAGTGTGGACTCAGGGGAGAGAAGTTGATTCAAATCCTGGTTCTGAAACTTACAAACTGTATAATCCCAAGAAAGTAACTGAACATCTTCCTTTCCTTATGTGTAAAAGATGCTAATATTTACCTGAAAAGGGTCATTTTGTGAAGAAACCATTTTGTAAACCTAAAATCACTATAGAAATGGGAATTGTGTTTTGAAATGCCTTCTAGCTCTGAGTGGCTGTGTTCTAAGGTCCCTCCCAGTTCTAACATTCTGTGTTCTATATTCTAAGGTCCCTTCCACCTCTGACATTTTATTTCCTAAAATCCCTTCCAGCTTTGACATTTTATATTGTAAGGTCCCTCCCAGCTCTGACATTCTATGTTCTAAGATCCCTTTCAACTGTGACATTCTATGTTCTGAAGACCTTATCAACTCTGAAGTTTTGTGTTTATGTTCTATGCTTCCATCCTTCTTTGGTACTCTGTACTGTGTGTCCTAAGGCTGTATCTACCCTGCTTTAACATTTCTTGTCTGCATTCTAAGTTTCCATCAAGCTCTAATATTCTAGGTTCTATGTTCCAGGTTCCCTTCTAGTTTTAACACTCTATGTTCTCAGATCTATGACCTAATCCTTGCAGACACCCATCATGCCCCATGTAGGTCTGTTCATGAATCATTCAAGAAGGAGCTGTGTTTATGTTTCTGATGCATGCCATTAGCACCTCTCAGTAGGATGAATGGTGTTAACACCCAGGTGTCCATCACCAATCATTTGTCTTCAGGGAGCTGGGAATAGAGTCAATGAATAGAGGAAAAGCTGGACTAACCTGAATTTCATCTTCACTGGCAACATCTGGGGAAAAAAAAGCAGAGATACAGAAGATAAGGTAATTAAATCATCAAAAGCACATAATTCACAGACAGTATAGCTTCTGAACACAGCCAACCACTCCCCCAAAGTGAGTGTTGCCAGTGGGGCCCACTAGAGCTTTATAGCACTAACTCTCAGATAATCCCTTAGCATTTCCTCCTATTCTCTGCCCCTCCCTTTCCTCTGCTTGTTGAAACTATACCTAGCTGACCTTCAAGGCCCAATTCCATGCTCCTTCTCCTAACGCCTTCCAACTCCCCCACCTGTCTAAAGTGATCTTTCCCTCATCTGATTTCAGAGCACTTAATATTCTTCTTAAGCATTTCTCATAGTCAAATTTGTATTACACTAATCTGTATCCATACTTTAAATTTTCTGTCCTCTCAAGAGACAGTGTGACATAGTACAAAGAGCCCTAGACCTGAGATCAAAAGACCAGAGTTTGAGCCCTAGCTCTGATACTTCCTAGCTGTGTAACCTTGGACAAATCAGTACTCTCCTCTAAGTCTCAGTTTTCTCATCAGTAAAATGGACATGATATTTATACCACTTTCCTCAAAAGTTATTGTGAAGATAATGCTCTGTAAACCTTAATAAAAGGAAAGCTATCTCCTGAGGTCAGAGAGGAGCCTCATACATATATGTATATATATATATGTGTGTGTGTGTGTGTGTGTGTATGTGTGTATGTGTACGTACAAGAATATGTATATGTATATGTATATGTATATACTGTATACCTATATATTCCCTTGGTGTCTTGTAACTAGTAGGTGCTAAAAGAATGAATGTGTGGCCCAGAAATATTTTTGAACATATAAAACCCTTTCTCCATGGAACTTCAAAATGTAAGCAATGTTCTAAGAGATTAGTCTCATTAATCTTCTAAGACAGTCTAACAACTGACAGATTTCTAGGTTTGGAAGGGACTTTGTACATTAATGGGTTCAAGCCATTACTTTTACAAAGGATAAAACTATGGCCTATGATGGTACAGTGAAAAGAGCTTTGGATTTGGACTCTGAGTAACCAACTTTGAAACTCAGCTCCTGTCATTTATTAGCTTTGTGACTTTGAGCAAGTTACATAACTTTTTAGCCTCACTTTCCTCATCTATAAATAAAAGAGACCCCTAAAGTCTCTTCCAGCTCTAAATATATGATCCTAAGACTTGACTAAGGTCACACAGGTAGTTGGGACACAAACCCAGCTCTCCTTAATTCTAATATGGCGCTCTTTCCACTATGCCATTCTTGGTTTTCCAAAGCTCATGACTGGCTCGTAGGCTCAAAGCTCACAGGTCACTCAAAATATCTGCTTTCCACTTATTTTTAAAGGGCAGCTACATAGCAGAGTGTACAGAATGCCAGACCTGGAGTCAGCAAGACTCATCTTCCTGAGTTCAAATCCAGCCTCAGACACTAGCTGTGTGACCCTGGGTGGGTCACTTAACCCCAATTACCTCAGTTTCCTTATCTATAAAATGAGCTGGAGAAGGAAATGGCAAACCACTCCAGTATCTTTGCCAAGAAAACCCCAAATGGGGTCAAGAAGTTGGACATGACTAAAAATGACTGAACAACAACAAAACCTAGGCATAAGATAGCTTCTGTTTTGATTAGAATATGTATTCTAAACCTCATCCAGGCCTGTGTCCTAACAGCAGATTCATCAACCCCAGACCCATCCACAGTTAAACAAAGTAGTATGGCATGGAAAAAAGTGGGGGAGACTAAGAGTTGACAGTCCTGGGTCCTAGTCCTATTTCAGAATTTCCTATTCCAATAAACTTGGACAAGTCATTTAATTTCCTCATCTGTAAAAATGAAATAATGATACTTGTACTATATACTTATTAAGCCTTGTGAAGCTTAAAATACTGGATAAAGAAAGTAATTATTAAATAAGGTCACCACAAAGCACTGGGTCTGTTTGTCCTTTATTTGAGTAAAGCATATCAGACTTGGAGTCCAAAAACTTGAATTCTGTTTCTGAGCTTACCATGGACTGGCTAAGTGACCTTGGGCAAGTAAGTACTACCCCCCCACTCTGGGCCTCAGTTTCTCCCTTGAGGACGTTATGCCTTGCTCCTGCTCACTCCTGTATAAAATTGGAATAATAATAGCTCCCCTTTCTTTAGTGCTTTAATTTAAGGTTCACAGAACACTTTTTCATAACTCCCTATAAGTATTCTTGTCCCCTCTTTACTAAGAGGCTTTCCTTATAGTTACAAAGCTAGTAAGGAGTAGAATTATCAGGGCTATATTCCAGGAAACATGTCTCTCACTTCATTGCTATGCATCTCAGTTTTCCCAACTGTAAAATGGAGATAATAACAGCATCTACCTCTTAGAGTTGTTGTGAGGATTACATAAGATAATATCTGTAATATACTTTGTAAAGATTAAAGCACTACATAAGTGCTTTCTATCATCATCATCATCATCATCATCATCATCATCATCATTACTATAGATGAAACTGAGTTCCAGAATTGGTGTTGGAGCAGGACCTAGAACCCATGTGTCTTAACTCCCAGCCCAATTCTCTTCCAGCCAGGCTGGTGAAATTTGGCTTTCCTTAGGGGAACCAAATTTTTCAGAACAGCTGCCTCTGGTCTTATATCTCAACATAAGAATTGAGCTTGGAGGAGGGCCCTCCAGATGAGCCTCTGGCTCCATACTTACTCACTCTCCTGGGGCTCCCGTTGGCAAAAAGGTTTGAAAAGCCAAGGAGGGCAAAAGGTCAAAAGAAAGAAAAGGTATACAAAATGGGGGAGGCAGAGGTGTTCCCAGGACACTCTAGCCCACCCCTGATCTAGCCCCTTAATAGGAACTGAAGTGTTGACTTCTTTCACAGGTCTTATCCTGCTTTGTTTCGAGAATTCTACAAACTGTTATAATGATTTTTATATTTCTGCATTAATATACTGGTCTGACATCAAATCTAGTCCTTTAATCCCCGACCTTCATTTCATAAGAATATTTGGACTAGTCATTTCTCAGGACTGTGATAAACAAAGCACTTTGTGACCTCTAAAGCATTATAGCAATGTGAGTTACTATTATTACTAGCTCTAGGGATCAGCAAATGGTTCCTGAAGATGGTTAATGGCATCTGGGTTGAGTTTTAAAAGATGGGCAGGGATTCAATACTTTCTTTTGGTCCTTCATTCTCTCCAGAGTCAGAGAATGCAATGTTGCTCTAGGAGAGACATCATTATTACATATGGCTCACTATATTTCAGCACAATGCTTCACATTCCCAGTGCTGAAGGTTCTGGCCCCTCCTACTTTATCCACCTCCTTTTCTCTAAACCAATATCTCCTACCCCTGGGATGATCTTTCAGAAGGATAGCCAATACCCCACTCCATCCCCCACCTTCTGTAAAATCAGTGGGTATGATTCAGCATCCGCTTCAAGGTATGGGCAACTCAAGGAACGTCTCCCAGACCATCAATAATCTCTGAGCCAGGTCTAATCTTAGAATCACTTGACGATCTTTTATCTTCCCCATGGTGGCAAAGATAGCCAAGGAGAGAGGCAGTAGCATGAAAAAATTGAAAAGGTATTTGAGAATAAGCAGAATGAACTATACAAAGTCTAAAGAAAAATCATGGAAATGGAAGGAAAAACAAAAGAAAGGAAAGGAAAGGAAAAGAGAGGAGAGGAAAGGAAAGAGAAAGAGAAAGGAAGGGGAGGGAAAGGAAGGGGAGGGAATGGAAGGGAAGGGAAAGGAAAGAGAAAGAGAAAGGAAGGGGAGGGAAAGGAAGGGAAAAAGGGAAGGGAAGGGAAGTGAAAGAAGAGAAAGGAAGAGAAAGGGAAAGAAAAGGAGAGAGAAGAAAAGAAAGGAAAGGAAAAGAAAAGAAAAAAACATTTTACATGCCACATTCCCCCTCCTTTACAAAACAAACAAACAAACAAAAATTTTTAAAAATACTCTAGTATTTTTTGATCCCTAAATTTCTGACTGAATTAAATTCAATATTTACTTAAGATGTAGGGAAGTCTGAAAAAAGAACTCAAGAGCTCTGGAGTACCAGTGAATGACCTCAGAAGAATGAATGACCCTGTTGGCCAGGATAAAACATACTGAATCAAAGCTCTGAAAATCCAGGGTCTAGGCCTGGCTTTGCTGCTGGCTAACTGATTGAGCTTAGGTAGTTCAATTTAACCAACAATTTCTTCTCCCTGGGTCTCTGCTTCCTCCTCTCTCAAATGAAGGGGCTTGACTAGATATGTCTCAAATAGTAGCAACTGTTGGTATTTGTATAGCATCTGAAAGTTTGCAAAACCTTTTAGATAAATGAGCTCATTGAATCTTCACAAGCCTTAACATTTTCCAGCTCTTTATCCTATGATCCTATAAAATCCCTTCTTTGAGTGGCACTATGGATGGAAACCCTATCCCAGGGAGACAGAGCTGCAGGTGACAGGCAACAAGGCACTTACCTGGGATGGAGCCCAAGGCCAGTATGAGTAGAACAAATACAGCTGAACTCTTCATTGTCAAGACAGGTCTCGCAAGGCAGCGTCTATGAGTCGACTCGGCACATTGCATCGCTAACCGGATGCTCTGATAGGGAACAAGGCCGATGGGGAGTCAATTATTTTATACAAGAGAAGCTCCACCCCTCTAGGGTTGCACCATCCTTCTTCTGAAAGCCATCATTAACAATATAAACCAGTTTGTTGAGAGCAGTGCTGATGAATGTGCAAAGCAGTTTCCATGGCATAGGGCATATTTGAGATCATGCCCAAGTAGCAGATCCCAAACAGATAGTGGCTACTTTCCTATAATGGAGGGGTTCAGTACTATTGGACAGCAATATAAATATAGTAGGAAAGAGACCTGAACTGGGAGTCAGGAGACCTGGGTTCTAATCCCACATTTCTCACCAACTGGACAAGTGTTAGAGCAAACCACTGCCCCTCTTTGAAATCCAATTTTCTCATATCTAAAATGAAGGGATGCTCTATGGCTTGAATTTCACCTGTGCAAAGGTCTTTTGGGCCCTGACTTTGAGCAAGAGAAAATCCCAAAATTCAACGGAAAGAATAGTGTTAGTCAACGTATGCCATTGACTCTACCTACCATTCATTGTGAAAGTCAAAGAATGTGAGAGCTAGAAGGGGCTGTTGAGCATAGAATGTAAGACCTGGAAGGGTCCTGAGAACATAGAATGTCACAGATAGAAGGGGCCAGAGCTAGATGAGAACATAGAATGGTTTGTTTAGAAGAAGCCTCAGAACATAGAATGTCAGTTGTGGAAGAGAAATGAGAATATAGGATGTCAGAGTTGGAAATGGCCCTAGTGATTAAATAATTGGCAGCAAGAAGGAAAAACTTGTCCAGATAAATAGCACAGCAAGTGTGGTACTAGAACACAAATCTCCAAATTCAGAGGCTAGTTCTCTTACCACTACACCATAGTGTCTTTCTCTTTTTTAAAATGCATGGCTTTATTTCATTTAAAAGTACTCTCATGGGCTTGAAACATCTGCCCTCTTTAAATAGGATATTGCTCAAATGACAAGACTCCATCACTTTGTTGCCAGCCTATGATTCCACTAAACCAGTGGCAGAGGAACACCAGTGGAATTACTGTTGAAGCTCAGGTTGGTATAATGGAAAGATTCCTAGTCCAGGAGTCAGGAGACTGAGGCTGGAGCCCTATCTCTGCCATTAATTTAGTTATCTATTGTAGAGCAAACTCTATTCCCTGGATTTCTGTTTTCTCCCTTCTCTTCCACTGTAAAATAAAGGATTTCAGCTGAATAGTCTCTTTCAATCTCTGATATTCTATCTTTCAGTATCCCTTCCAGCTTTCCATATGATCTTCCAAGATCTTTTCTACCTCTGACAGTCTGTGTTCTATAATTATATTTTTATAACCTCTGAAATCATTTCCAGTTTTCAGTCACTGGTAAAGTCAGCTCTGGATATGGAGAGGTAAGAAGCAATAGGATTTTCCCTTCTATGTCTCCCTGATTCTACTTTTTCTAAACCTTAAACACCAGATCTTTATCCTAAAGCTCCTACTTTCAGTCCTGGATAGATGTTTCTGACCATTGGCAGAACAACTATATCTTTCTTCTTAAATGGTAACTGTTGAATGCTTGTGAAACTAAATTTTCTTATTGGGACTGGTTGAATCTGTTATTTAGAACCTCCTCACTACCACCAAGATGTGGCACACAACAATCCACTTCCAATGAGGGAAGCCGTGTCTAAGAGGAGGGAAGAGCCAATGGCTGTAAGATGATTGACTGATTGAAGAATCTAAGTTATGAGGAAAGTTTGTGGGAGTTGCTTTTCTTCTGACTTGAATAGAGGATGTAATGGCCTTTTAAACTTCCAAAATTGAGCAAAAAAAAAGTTTTTTTCCTTTTAAGATGCACCAAACTAAGACATTCTTCTCAGAGAAGAGAATCAGTGGGAGAATGCTTAGAGAATATAACTATTAGAAGAATGTTCCAGATGGGCTATACTTCTGAGGTTCTTTCCATTTCAGCTCAGGAATGCTGTGGATCCGGAGGTGAATCACTTAGCACTCTGCTAAGCTTTTTGTGAGCCTGGAAATCCCAGGGATGGAATGGAGTCTCTGGATGATTGGGGAGGTGGTTGGGGTCAAAATCAGGGTCAGGTTTAGGGAGCAGCCATGGCAGATGTTAAATGCCATGAGCATAATGAGCAAGATTCTCTTTGTCTCATCAAAGAGGAGGATTACAAAAAGGTAAATTATAGAATTGTGGTGTCTCAGAGCCAAGGATAGCTAACACAACTTTCTCTACAAAATCCCTGACATCTCATCTTAGTCTGCTGGTCCCACAATTTCTCTGTGTTTCCTAATCCCTTCACCCCTGTTCTGATTTTGCCTTCCTTCCTTCGTGGTGATAGTCAAGGGATCATAGCTAAATGGAACCTAAAAAGTTATCTAATCCAATCCCTTCCCTTTACAAAATGAAGAATCTGAGGCCCAGAGAAGTTAGGAAACTTACCCAAAGTTCTATAGGTAGAAAGTAGAAGGAGCAGGATTTGAATCTAGGTCCTTCCTTTAACTATAGGTCCAGTGATCTTTATGCTGCATCATGCCATAACCTTGACCTTATAGTTAAGCAGTTCAAAAAGAATTGTCCTCCACCCCTGAATCCCTTGCTCCTTTGTCCTTCCCACTGTTCACTCCTTACTATTCCTCAACCCTGGATCAACTGCAACTACCCCTGTTCCTACTACTGAACCAATGACATTACAGCAGTAAGACATGAAATTGCTGACTGGGTCTACTACAAATCTTTATTGTGCAATCTCAACTGAACCTTCATTGCTGCATAGGAATCCTGTTTATCTCTGAGTGGCTCTATCAGGTTCTCTGTAATGACTATTCTAAGCCATAAGCTTCCACTTCTATCCCCATTCCTTATCTTTTAGTAGATGATCTTGCCTTCTGTTTACAGAGAAGGCATGGCATAATTAATAGAGCTAGCCTTGGAGTCAGGAAGACCTGAGTTCAAATCCTGTTTCTAACACATGCTAGCTATGTGACACTGGGCCAATCACATAACCTTTCCATGCTCTTAGTAACTCTCTAAGATATAAGTTGCAGAAAAGATGCCAATCAGCATTAATAGACATGGGTTTCCTTATTCAGAAGTTCCTAACTCAACTAAATCACAGCCTTCATCTATCTATCAATCAATCTTTGTATCTACATAAATGCATGTATATCTATGTGTGTGTAGTACGCATCATGACTATGTCTCTGTATACGTCTTGTTTCTCTATCACATAATATATATATGCACATATATACACACACATACATATATTTGTGTATGTATAAATATATACATATATATATACATATTCATTTTGGAAAACTAGGAATTCTGTAAGTTGAGAGTTAAGAGGTAGTATGTTCCAGACATGACTTACCATTTGTACAAAGTCATGAGGACCATGGATACATACACATGTACATGAATGAGAGAATGAATGAATGAAACATTTATTAAATGATAACTATGTGCAAAGCACTGCACTAAATGCTAGGGATATAAATAGAAAAGTATGACATACCCTGCTCTCAAGTCACTCATATTTCAGTAGAGCAGAAAACATATATAGAAGGTTTCAGTTGCAAATCATTTGGAAAAGTCCTATGGTCCTTATGGTGCAGCAACAAAGCAGAAGGCAATGTCTGTCCTTCAATATCATTTCTACTAATAAAATCATATCAGTTTCTGATGAATCATTTGGCAGAACTTTCTTTTTTTGATCTTAAATATATGTGGCTGGTTGCATATCCAGAGGAGTTGCTTCCCAGGATGATGGCTATATGTACTGGGCCAAAAGCATTGCTTTTTCCAAGGCTGTTGGGTTCAGGGTACTGAACTGTCTCCATCAGGGTTTGAGGGAGAAATGGTGGTTAAGGTGGTAGTTGGCTTGCCTGGCTCATACTGCCTCAAACATCCAAACATACATACATATAGTTCTCAGTTCTCTAGGCAACTCTCTAAGACTGTAAATTGCAAAGAAAGTACCAATTGACATTGGTAAGAGTGTTCTCCCATAGGAAGTTCCCTGTACCAATTAGTTCACTGGTCTAATTCAAAGTCTTCAATCCCTATCCCTGTATGTAAGCCTATATACCTAAACCTATACATATACATATATAGAAATATAGGCATATATATGTATGTACATTTGGATATGTGCATAAATATGCATATATATAGCATAATCTCCAGCCCTAATTTCTCATTTGAGCTGCAGTCACCCACATATCCAATTGACTATTGAACATTTCCACTTGATTTCTCCACCAACCCCACCCAACTCACCATATTCAGAACTAAAGTCATTGTCTCCCCCAAATCCTACTTCCTCTCAAGAAAAAAAAATCTGCCCCTTCCCTTAAATTATTTATTTCTGGCAATGGTACTACAATCTTTCCTGTCATTTAGATTCAAAACCTCAGAGTCATCAATTATTTTCTCACCTTCACCCCTCAAGTCCCATTGGTTGTAAAGTCTTATTGATTCTCCCTCCTCATCTTTCACGTGTTCTCTGATATCACTCATACTGCTGCCACTCTTATCAGGTCCTTATTACCTCTCTCTTCTACCATTGACATAGCCTCCTAATTGGAGGCTTGCCTCCTTGCCTCTCATCTCTCTCCTCTCTAATCTTTCCTTTACATGGCTGCCAAAATAATTTGCTAAGGCACCAGTCCGAGCATGTCATTCCTCTGATCAAAAACTTTCAGCATATCTCTATTGCCTCTAGGATAAAACACAAACTCATTAATCTGGTGTTGAAAGACCCCCCCCCCCCACACACACACATACACAATTGAATGCCAAGTTACCTTTCCAACCTTATTGCACTTACTACCCTTCATATGTTCTATAATTCAGCCAAATTGATAGCAAACTTCTTATGTATGATTCTAGCCACTAGATCACTTTTTGCCATGTATTTAGTAAATACTAAATTATATAGCCTGCAGTATTGTGTTAAACAGTTTCTCCAATTTCCTTGCATAACTTACATTGATCACCAAGTCCTGA